TTTTCGGATAGAATGTCCGTGGAATGTACTTTAAGAACCAAAATAGCGCTTCATTCGAAAATTTAGGTTTAGTGTCAAACTTTCATAACGATAATAATCTTGCAAAGCTCTTTGAAGACACAATGTTCAATCATCAAATATAATTTTCGCTGTAACATTATTTCATACTCACTTTGGCACTAATTTTTTTAATAACCGCCAAACAACAAAATTATTATCAATTAATTTTCTCTAATACATACATAGATAGATCCATCGTTATTCTCTTACTTTGTCTCTTTCACATTAACGAATGCTTGATTTGGCAACATTTTAACGCACAATATGAATTAGTTTTCTGAATAATAATTGTTGTTAGATAATCAAAGAAAATTATTATTTTTTAAATTGTGACCCTTATTTGTGTTTGTACACTATGTATGTGTAGTTTTGAAAAAAACACATTCATACCGATACGACTAACGAATAAATACAATACTTGATCAAAAGTTTGAAACACTCATTTAGTTAATTTCACCAAAATGTACATAATAAACCTAAATAAAATTGAAGCTTAACATTAGATCCTCAAGAATATTTATGCTAATTTCAATTTTTTTTTAACATTTATAGGGACGTCTAAAGCCTGATCCATCACGCGATACATAACTATATAATTAAAGATTGATTTTAAGCTTAAGGTTAGGGTTAGTGTTGTATCAAGATTATATATAAAATTACCTCCCCAACATTTTTTATTAGTATACCAAGATAGATTTAAACATCTGTTTTTCATGTTTTTGCCCGCGCTTCGGAATTGTTTTGCCGAGTTGATCAAAAATTTACGCATCCTTATTGGTTTGTGTTTCGGACTGATTATCGGATGGACCAGGCTTCATGCCCCATTCATAGAACTTGAGTAATTAAATTTGATATAAATTTTATGTACATGCTTAAGTAATTAGTATGGATACATCTACCATAAAACGCGGCATAAAATACCAGGGGAATACATTGTGCGAGGATGGGTATATTATATGGATCAATTTTAGACAGAATTAAAGGATATTTGGCCAGAGCTATAAGAGGGTACGTTACATTCCACCAAATATCTGGCTTATGAATGGTACCCGGGTATATAACATGGAGGGTACACTAACAGGGGGATATTTTATGCCGCATTTTACGGCACATCAGGAAGCTTGAAGGTTAGCAACATCTATATAGTGTATTAATTTTATGTGGCAATTTTTCCATATTATACTATATATAATTTTACATAACTATAAATCTGTATGTTTATGTGATTTTACTGAAGGTCAGAGCATTTTAATTTAATCACATATATGCTACAGAAATTACGTGATAAACTCTTCCTGATGTATAGTGGGTCACATCAAATACTTTGAATTGCAAAGGATTTTTTATATGAACTTTAAAAAACACATCATTTAATAGTTTTTGATAAGTACTATCAAGTAATGTATTTTATCTTAAAGTTTTATATATTTTTTATGAGAAGATGCAATTTTAAATAATGCATTTTTTAAAACTTTCAGCATTACCGTATATCTCCGATATATGTAAAATTAGTAAACTTGACCCGAAAATAAGCTATCCCCTCCCCCTTGCTTTGAAGTTTAAAATGGTGTCAAAAATGATAGCTTATTTTCGGAGATATAAAATAAATCTGACCAATCATATTCAATTTTATTAGTAATGATCTGCAAAATTCTCAGCGCCTTAGCTGGGTGCATCATAGTTCATCAAAATTTAATTGGCGTTTTGTTTTTTAATTACTCAAATTTTATGAATAGTAAAAGGTGAATATTCATGAGAACCTAAGTTACAAGTTTATTATGCACACATATTTGTGTAATTAGAAAAAAATGAGTGTTCCGTCAAGTACTTTACATAATCTAACTTCATCATTGAGATTAACTAGAATATTTGTTTTTCCGCTGTGTCTCTAACCATGAACCTACCTCAGAATATACGTAATACAATTTGTAGCAAAATTAGAAAATAAATAATTAACTTTTGCTTGCTAGCTTCTTTATATATATATATATATATATTGAGAATGATCTATTATAATATACTGAAATTATCTATTTAGATACACCGAAAGTTAGAAGTAGAAAACAAAGCCTCTGTTCCCATAAGAATTTTGTTTAATTTTAGAATAATTCTAACTGAAAACAAAGAATTTCATCATTTTGGTATTTTTTTGTCAATATATAAATTAAAGTCATGCAGTGCACAGACTCTGGTGTTAATTCTTATACGTACCACTTATAACCATAAATTAATAACCATACCATATCAGTCTTTATTGTTACATGCATAAATTGTTATTGGTTTTTCCGTTCAAATAGCCATAAATGAATGCATGCACACAACACAACAACGTACGTAATCGATTTTTGATTAAAGAAAGCTGATATCCGTATATTCTCGCTAGTATTAATTATAAGCATCGTTTTTGTTGTTTCTGTAGAAAAATGTATCAGTATACGCTTGTCTTTACATGATGCATGTGTTTCTCTTCGCCCTGTTCAATTCCATATTAGGTGTTTTTATTATAAATTTATTTTAATGAGCATAGAAATCAATAAAAAACCAGCAGTATGAGACGAAAATAATTTGTGGATGTGTCACTCATACGCACTCATTCCTGCTTGGCTCGACTCTGGAGCTTCTTTGTTATTCCTGCTCAAAATATACATCGTATACTATTGCAACTAGGTCACAACAGTATTTGGAAGTATTAGAGTGACAAACAATCGGAGAAATTTATAATGGAATAACAGAGACACAACACAAATTCAATTCTTCTTACAGTGACAGTACCCACGCCATTCAGAATATGCGATATACATCTTAAATGATTGTTTGATCATAAAAACTTTCAAAAAGTGTCTGATTTGTATTGTAATTTATTGTTCGCTGTTTGTTGCCAAATACCGGAATTATGTATATATTCTTTTGTACAAAGACAAAGACTCGTAGTTTAAATTTAACCCATTGTTTTCTAATTTTGGCCAAGTATCGGTATGTTGACTTTGAGTTGACTGCTGTTATCTCATTTAAGTCAACGATCGACCAAACCATAAAATCTAAACAACATAAAGACTACATTGAGCAAACACGAAAAGCGTCATTGTAATAAGAATTGATCTTTGTTTAGCAACTTGTTCACCTAATTAATATTGAATTTTTGCTTTTCTCATGAGGGATATTTTTTTTGCCGCAGGTTCAGATTTGATACATGACTCTGATTATTATTGTATGCAATCACCACTAGTGATGGGAGCCGCAACTTGTCGCAACTCTCTGATTGGCTGTCACAAGTCGCAACTAGTTGAGACACCATCTTTAATCACCACAACAATTCGTAATCAATTTCTTGCATGAAGTTACCCAGACTAATTTTAATGAATTCGGGCTCTTTAGGTTACATCTATGACCCCAACCAGGTTATTCATGCAATTTTGTTGACATCACCTAAACTTCTAGGCTCCTTTAGATAACCGCATATTGCATTCTAGAGTCAATAACACCATTTTGGTACAACATCACCCAGTCAAAGATATTACTACGTACTTACATACTGTGTTGATAACATAGCGCCAAAATTATAAACAAAATACATGAATTATAACTATAATACATGGAAATATTAAAAAAAAAATGCGACACAAAGAGTAACGAAACCAGATCTAAGCACAAAACTATAAATAAATTTCGTTGTTTTCTTTCATTACATCTGTTTGTATGGTAAATTGTTGCCTTGTGACCCATTAAAAGATTGTTGAAAAACATGCTATTTTAATCGACAACCGCATTCGTGTATAAGTGTGTGTTGCGTTTCGTGAATTTATATATATGCATGCAGAAAGTCGTTAGATTAGAGATCAATTGATTCTGCAAAGTTTTATGTGTGATTTCGAGTTTATTCCGTGTTTGAAATAAAAATTTGCCTCACATACTATCGTAACAATCAACAAAGAAACTAAAAATACGTATTTTGTCTATTGTCATTATCTTTGATTTCATCGTCACACGTATCTTTACTAGTTAACAAGATAACAATGGAATTATTAGAAATTTATATATGCATATATATATAATCCGACCGATTTTACAATTAGAAATAAACTTACGCTTTCATAAAATAACCTTATAATATACTACTGTTTATATGGTGCATAACATCTAAGGTTATCAAACGTTTGTATTTATAAAATGTATAAACTTCTCAACAACTCTACCATATTTATGGATTAAGTTTTGAATTTATTTCTTAATTGAGAAGTTTATGCCTTTTATACAATACAAACGTTTGATGAATTTAGCTGTTATACGTACACCATATAACAAATTTATTGACACGGGTCTAGACCCATGTCAATAAATTGTTATGTATATAAAAAGAGCTTGTTACAATGAATGAGTGACTATGTATCATATTTTCATAAGAGTGATAGAGGTGTAACTGCAATTTTTTAGTATATCGATTGATATACATTTATAAGTTGTATGGTGCGGCGCCTCGAATTTACATAAATCTAGTATTTGATTGGCCGAAGGCCAATATGATAGCATAATTTTACTTGGCATTATAAAATCGATTTAACGATCAAAAAATTTTTAAATTATGCTCAATTTTGGCCAACATTATAAAAGATCAACAAATTCTAGGCCGATTTGACTATTAAATTTGGCTCAAATTTTGGTAATTTTGTCCATGTGCATTTACGTATCAAGAAAGTGCATAATTTTAAGTCTCTAACGCTAACTGGTAAAAATTATGCACAGAAAACCACTATTTACGGTTTATTTGTCAAAATTACCAAATCTAGAGGACACCGCAAATAAAAGATCGAGACTAACCTTTCTTAAAACAAATGACTAACTGACTAAAGTAATATCGATATCTGATATGCGAGCAATCGATTTTGCATAATCTAAACCGACCAATCATCAACACAACTCAATTGCCAATTTCTTAAAAGAGAATGAATCGTGTATCTAATGACAAGAAACCATATTTGTTGGATTATGATAATAAAGTAGATGTAGTAAATTTGGAAGAGATACTGCTAATAGTACCCCTCAGATACAGAATGACGAGAGTAACATATGAAATTTGTTATTAATTGGAGGTTTATCTTGCTATTAATCATAATAAATCCAAAGAAAAAACCAAATATTACTTTCGGAGGTACTTGTACGGTACACAAAATGTTGTTGAGAATCTACTTTCAATTTTTTTCAATAAATAAATATTTCGCTGTCTTCTCTGATGCATGCACAAATATTATTTAGTTGATGTTCGAGAATCTAAAGAATATGAAAAGGGTGATATTCCTACTTCTGTAAATATTCCTCTTAGTGAGTTTTCAAAAGGTGATTAAATTTCAAAAAGCGTTATGCGTCAAATACCTTTGCGCTTAGAATACAAACTTTAATATTATATTCATATTGTTATTTCCAGATTTTCTATTGCAAATTAGGATATCAAGTATGTTGGCAAATAGCATTGCAAAGGTTTTACGGATATGAAACATAAGAATACAAAACTAACTTACTATTTTAAATCATTAATTTTAATATAATTTGATTTTTTTAATTTCTTAGAGCGCGAATTATGAAGTTAGAGAGAATACACGACAAAACGGAAAAATAAGCACATTCGACGTTTTTTTATTAAACTATTAAGAATGTATGAATTAACGACCAAAAACATTGCCAATTGAAAAATATATTTGTCAAACATGCATTAGGAACTATTTATATACATTTATAAATGTTTAGAATTAATGTTAATGAATAAAATTCAGCCAGATAGCTTATAACTAATTCGACGCTTTTTATTCTTTCTTCGCATTTATAAATTTCTTTCAATACCAACCAAAGGTTTTTTATAACTTTGTTATTGCATTCGGCACGGAAAGTAGTGGCGGAAACATTTTTACCAAATAATTGGTCTCCCTCTAAAAAAAGGTTGGTGTGGAAAATACATAAGCTATTGCAAAATTCAAACCTAATTATATCGAGATTTTAATTATAATCACAGTTTGCTATAACCAGTTTTGACTGTATATTATTTTATAAACTAAAAATTGTTAAGAGCAAATTGAAATGACATTACTAGTAATAGTTCTTATAATTTTTTGACACGTCAAGCCTGCGTTGACATGGTGATTTTTTAAGAATATGATGCCCTACTTAGGGAAGGCACCTGATTCTCCGACACCCATTACTCCCGAAAGTAAATTTACCCGACTCCATTTGCTCATATCCCGTTTCCCCAAATGAAGATTTACCCGACATAACGTTTGACTTTGCATGTAATTAACAGGTTAGGGTTAGGGTTAGAGTTAGGTTAGAGTTAGAGTTAGAATTAGAGTTATAGTTATAGTTAGAGTTAGAGTTAGAGTTAAAGTTAGGATTAGGATTAGGATTATATGTAAAATTGTTTTTTGCTTAGCACCAAGCTAGAATTATCAGGAAAGTGCCATGTCGGGGATATGTCATATCGGTGAAATTGGTTGTCGAGGATATGGCTTCGAGGAAATGTTGTGTCGGGGAAAGTGGCTTCGGATAATTATACTGCACACATCAAGAAAGACCTGATCCATCATTATTAACGATTAAATTAGGCATTCACGCTTATCTTCCCCAAAATGTGGGTGTACGATTGTATTTAAATATAAACTATAACTCTAAATTCATTTGTTGAAAATTATTTTCATAATTTACAAAAAAAATGCTATAATCTACGTTAAATTTAAGCAAATTTCAATTAGTTTCAATAACTTAACTCGAATTTCTAAGAAAATCAAGTCCAATTTAATGGCTTTTCTCATAATATAAAAGGAAAATGTTCTGATTTAGAGCATTTTCAAGCTATAGTGTATTTAAAATTTTCGTGATTCTGGTAATGAGTAGCACTTCTGTAATCAAGGTGCTTAAGGTAACAAATCGCATTAATATAAGAATTAGTTTTATTCTATTCAATATGATATTTATTGGAAAGTTACTTTCTTAATCGAGAGTATACACAGACCTACGATCAATCACCGTGCATATGCATTGCCGAGTAATGTTTTACTTTCTCTTTTGTTTTTATTTTTACATCGTTTATTTATATATAAAAACACTCTATTCATTCTTTCTATTCATAATGTCCTTACCACGAAAAGAATGATCGTAAACCAATAATTGGCGCATATCATATGGAGAGCAATGCAAACAGTACGTGATACAATTATTTGTTTAAGAAACAGGTTCTCCACGTCCCGTAAAACGCACTGGACTGGGCAACCAAAAATTTTATCAGGACGTGATAAACGAAGTTAAAGTGTATTGTAAAAAAAAGATCGCAAAGCTTTGCTTATTAAAATTACCAATCAACTAAATGCATATATTAATACTTCGATTCACTCTAATACATTCGTAATTACATGAAATTACTGTCTTTGAATCTCACTATGCAAATCATAAATCTTTTTTAACTATCCAAAATAAAAAAAATCGTTTACAATGATGCAAAGAAAAGAAAACTGGAATGATGAATGGCATTAAATCGTATGATCAGATGAATCACGATTTTCCCTTTTCTATTCAGACAAACGTACAAGAGTATGGTGAAAATCTTTTGAAAAAAACTTAGAAGGTTGTGTGGTTCCAACAGTAAAATTTGATGGAGTATTGGTAATGTTTTGAGGATATATTGAATGGGATGGAGTTAGACCTTTGGTAGAGTTTAATAACAATCCCGATTTTGACAGTTATGTTAATATTCTTTCCAAATATTCGGTTCTTTAGATGAGCAATCATTCTTATACAACTTTTCAGCAAGATAGTGCTTTCTGTCACACTTCGCATTATAGTCATTTGTGGATGCAAACGCATAGTATTCCAGTTTAGAATGGCTGCCCAAAGTCCCAATTTAAATACAATTGAGAATATATATGGGATCATTTAGATTATCAAATTAGAAAAAAGGTGCAATTTATTTTCCAGTATGCTGTGATGAGTTGCAGCTGTTATGGTTCATGCCATCTATAATCATCAAACAATTTTCACATAATTTACATAATTTCAAATTGTATCTAATCTTTCAATTTTGGTAATATTAAAAAACTAAACTGTAAATATAATAGATAAAGTTCTTTTCTTTTAGATTTATGATTTAAATTATATTATATTTTATAAAGTTATTAAAATTTAAAATCAATCACTTTTATTATTAATCTTTAATTTTTAGATACTGATTAACTAGCAATTGTTAAAATCACATTATTATTTAATAATATAATTATAGATTATTAAATGTGATTAGTGCTTCAACAAAATTGGATCCAATTTGTGCTCTAATTAGGAATGTTAAGTAGTCTGTATGAACTGGATCTGAACTGAATTCAGAATTAAACTTTAACTGGTTCATCACAAGAATCAAGAATCCAGTTTTTTAGTAATCTTTTTATTTCTGGAATTAATTAGAACTTAATTAATGAACACAATTCAAAAAACTGGTTCAAAAGACCAGTTCATAGACTGGATTCATGTTCAAAAATATAAAATCAATATTAAGTTTGTGTCTAAAAATAATACTAAATTTGTATTTAAAAATAATATGAAATTTGTATTTAAAAATAGACTAAATTTGTATTTAAAAATATATTAAATTTGTTTGAAAATGTATACTATTTTTTATTTCTTTTTTTCTTTATCAATAATGAGTTTTTTCATCCTCACAGATAGTATGAGAATGTTTTTATTTTGAAAACATTTTCTGTAGTTATAAAAATAATTATTATTCTGCTGTATATATTATATTTTTTGAATTATTATATTTTTAAGTTATTATATGCATTTTTCTATGTCTTTTGGTAAAAATTTCAAGTATATCTATTTTTTTAAAAAAAGTAATCTTTTAAATAATAATTAATTTATTATTAACTATAAAGATAGTAATCATTTAGCAATTTTTATCTTTAATAATAAAGAATTTATTTGAAAATATTCATAATAGTAAATTAAATAATAGTTTAACAATATTATCTAACAAAAAATATGCTTATTATAACTAATATCAAACTTTTTATGATAATAAATACAATTATTAACAATCAATTACTATTGCTATTAATTTATTAATAATTCTAATCATAATTATCTTATCTATTGCTAAAGAAAATAAGTTTAAGATCTCAATTTTAAAAATATTAAGAGAAATAAAGATTAAATATTACAGAATATTCATTTATTTCACAAGTGATTGTTTAGTTATTATATATCTGAAGTTATACTATTACTAGAATGATATGATAGCAAAGAACTAAAAGCATATTATAATCATTATAAGAAATTATTAGTCAAGTAATCATATTTGTAAATGTCCTTCTTTTTTATTTTATCATCCAAAAGCTTTGAATAGAAGTTATGGTAAATAAAATACATGAATAAATAACTCATATTTGATTTGGAGTATTTATTTTGATGATAATAATAATAATATTTACTTATAAAATCTTTTATATTTATCATATAAAATGTCAAATAAAGATAATATAAAGATTATATACTTTTAGTCCAGTACAAAAATTATTCAATGACAAAAGTTGATGTTAGTGATATCAATACTTTTGAAGGAATAATATCAAAATATAGAAAGAGTAATATGTTAGAAATTTTTATAATCTTAATTTACAATAGTTATTCATTATATGTTATAGATAAAGCAGATTCATTAAATTATAATTTATTATTTATAAACTAAAGATAATACAGTAATTGTTGCAATATTATGATAAATAAAGCATCATTTAGTTGCAACTAGTTGTAGCTTATAAAATTTTGGAGTTGCAACATGTTGTAACAGGTAACAAATAAGTATCATATACTTGCTGTATTATCTCTATTATAAATATAATATATATACATTATGACATTTTCAGATATTAGTTCAAAAAATTAAATAAAATATTAATGAAAGAAATAAAAAAAGAAATAAAAAAAGAAATAAAAAAATAATGAAAAAAATGAAAATAATATTTGAGGAACGAAAATAATATTTGAGGAACGAAAATAATATTTGAGGAACGAAAATAATATTTGAGAAACAAAAAAAAATCAAGATATTATTATCAGAAATATAAAAAAAGTTAAAATAGATTTGGTAATTGTTATTCCAGTTCTTTTAATAGTATTTATATAGTAAAAGATCTTTAACAGGTCTCTTCTTACAATTATAAAAGATGATAATAAATCAAGTTAAATTTATTATTAAGAAAGTTATACATTATAATTATAATAAGTTCAAGATAGTTTTATTAACAAAGCTTCTTTATTATTATATTTTTTACTATTGCTATCTCAGTCAGTGCTCTGCACATAGACTATATAAGTATATAATACAAGAATAATAATATTACAAGACTATTTCAAGGCTATAATCAAAATTATACTAAAAATTAGAGGATAATTATAAGATATTAAATAAGTGAATTCATTATTAAGAACTTATTAACTTCTATGAAACTTGTATGATAATTATTAACTTGTTATCAAGTAAAGTGCTATTTATATATAAAATTGATTGTTGTAAAAATTTCTAAATATCCATAATACTAAACTAGCAAAA